TCTGATAACTTAACTTGAATAGCTATAGCACCAATTTTTATTCAGACATTAAAGCACCAAAGTGGCATAAAGGAAGTTATCTTTTCTTAAGTTATCTTTATCTTATCGAGAGCTGGGCTATTATCATTTATGGTAATACTTAGGTCTTGAATTTGGATACAGCAAAGTGCTGGCCCTCGATTGGATTGTAAGGGATTAAATTGGTTTTATTTTAGAACTATTATCAAATAGTTCACAGCTTCTTGTTAAAGTTAAGACGTTAATTCACGATATTACTTTGCATATATATTTGCTCTTCGCTGTCAGCTTTCCAAATATCAAAAACCTGCACAATTTTATGCTTTCGGTTGGGAAATTAAGTTTAAAATATTTGCATATGTCTAGCAACAACACAAAAACGGAAATGCAAATGCATACGAAATATTATGTATTAACAGTGATGCCATAAATCAACGTCTTTGTCATACCACATAATAGAAATTTATTGCATACTACTTTTGGGACCATATTTTTTCTTTAAAAACGTTCAAAGATTATGCTAACCGGCTGCGTTCGCAAAAAAGTGTTAAAAGTTATTCGTCAACGTCACAACATCCTTTTTGATGCCACACACCGCAAGCAGCAGAAGATAGGTAAACAAAAAATAAAATAATTCATAAAAAACATATGGCATAAAAAAAGTGAACACATTTTGTGTTCATAAAGTCATCATGTTTTCATATTTGAAGACTGCAACCACATTGCTGTTTGCCCATGTTCTTAAAGTGGTAACTGCCCAAAAAAGGAACTCCGCAAAAAGTTTCTGGCCAGCAAAAGGTAAACAAACTCTCGCAAATTCCCAGCAAACAAACTTCAACTTGAACACACCCAAAATGTCTTCATTTTCACCTGTTTTCAAATGCTGTGCCTCCTTTTGCTTTTCACATAACGCCTAACACAGTTGCAAATGTGCACAGACGACAACACGGGCGGCAAAAGAAAAACCTCAGACCCAAACATATTTGCATAAACAGAACCCCACTTTGATGGTTTTGCGGGACGGACCCAACTAGCAGATGCGGGTATATCCACTGGGAAGTGCAGTTGGACCAAAGCTAAAAATGTCCTGAATATTTGGTTGCTTATTTGACGGTGATTGTTCTAATCTCATTTATATCATATGTGTGATGTAGAAGATAGCAAGAAGATTTGATCTGTTAGTGGTGATATTTCTAGATTTCGAAGTATTTAGTTTAAGATTTATATATGCTACAACCACGACCGAAAAGAGTGTTCTAGTTTCGCCTTAAGGCATCAAAAACCCCTGGAGTCCTCTCCACATTTCTTGCTGTTGTGCGGCTGTGCTTGGCATCATCAGGTTAGTGTTTAACCTCTGCAGAGTGCTGCAGTCCACTCAAAAAGTCTTTGACTTGCCATTCCACAACCCCTTTCGGCCAACTTGGACCGGGCAAAAAGCTGAGGCAACCAACCAGTAAACCAAGGCAGCCAGTCAGCCAGAGTTAACCAGTCGACATACTCGCCGGCTTCATAATCTGCAGCCTCATAATCGCCGTATTCGCTGCTCGGCATAGCTTTTAGCCACTCGGCTTGCTCTTTAACGCGTTAACGGGTTAAGTTGCCTTTTGTGAGCGTGTTTTGTTTTTAGCCATGCCTAAAACAACAAGGGTGCACCACGAAAATGCGTTCTTGACACCGTATTTTTTCCCACGACTGCAAGTAAACATGTTCTTAAAGTCCAAGAAAAAGGGTTTTGTTACTATATGTGAAAACCGTAATTTAAGATCCCAGACTTGATGTGCTTGAAATAGTATGTAATATAATAGTTTCATCGTGTGAGTTAGTACCCAAGATCTCTGTGTCTTTACACAAATTGTTGCTTTATGATTGACAACGGTGCTTTTCTCAGTGTACACGGATGTGGAAACAGAACACCAACGGGTTATGTGTAATTAGCCACGCCGACTTAGCCATAATCCGCGTGGCCGCCGTGCTAAATGCCTTGTGGGCAGATTTTAAAGCCAATTCTGAGGTGACTAAAGCCACCGCAGTGGCAAACCGACAGATTTATCCCATTTTAATCGACTGAGAAAAGCTGGAAAAATGCTGAAACCAGGAAACCCCAGAACTTAATTTTTCCGAGCCGCAACAACTGTGGCTACTTCACTTCCTCGACCGCGAATTCATCTCACTTGCAGGCGGAATGGGTCAAAAGAGAAGCAGGTTACTGAGTGTCACTAGCTGACCCCCGATGAACATAGGCGTGGTTTCCTGTCTAGGATTAAGCCCGACTTCGTCCCGATTTTCCGATTTACCCACTTCTGTCTGCGACTTTCGCACTGCCTGCGGTTTTGACCTTCCAATTTAATCCACGTTCTCCCTAGGAAAACAGTTTAAGATCTACGAAATCCTGGTTGTATATTTTGTTGCCAGTGTGTCGACTATATTATTTCTATGTAAATAGAAAATAATAGTTTTTTCTCTTCGGCATAACATTGCCACTTTACTATGCACTTGCATTTATATCCTAAATGTATTCACATTTCAACAAAGAAATTGGGTGAAACTATCACATGTAGATCAGCAAGTCAGTAGGCTCATAATAGTTACTCAGCTTCCAAAACTACCTTTGGCTAAGGCCTTTGGGACTGGCATTAAAGTAATTCAAGACCATTTCCATCTCTCGGGAGCCAACAACTTATCCTCGGGCAATCATTACTTGCTTAGCACATCACGCTTCTTAAAGGGAAACGGAGGCCCGAGTGGCGAGCCCCATTTTCTGGATTTCATTTCAAAGCATTTTTTCCACGCCCTCTGCGGCATTTTTCTTCCGCAGAACTTTGTCATAATTTTGCAGCGAGGCACGTCGACTTTCCCGTACTCGGGACTCGGTACTCCTGACCCCTCCAACTCCTGCGAGTGCCCGGAATCCTCTGAAGCTCGGCCCCGGGCCTCAGCTAGGCTGTCAGCGTGATAACTCCTTTTCGTGTTAAACATTTTCAACTCGCCTTGAGTGCGAGGCTTGTACGGGTTCCATGGGCTCCATGGGCTCCATGGGTGTACGGGTTGCACGGGTGTACGGGTTGTATGGGTTATGCAGCAGCTGTCGCCTGTGCGGACGCACACAAACAAGGCTTCGCACTCACACTCATGTGCACCGGAAGAAACTTTGGCACTCTTCTATTACTTGTACCTTAAGGAGTGCTGTCGGAGTTTTCTGTTAAAGTTATCATCGAAATAAAGTTAAAACATGAATATTATGAGTACTAATTTGTACAACCTTGCACAAGTATTTAAAGTGCTATTACAGGAATACAGGTATTTTATAGTCTTTTTTCATTCACATAATTCTTTATAATTATTCTTCTAATTATCTTTCTTTATAATTAGTTTCGATGTATCAAAATCATACCAGTTTTATTTTTAGGTACGAAACTTACACATCTCAATTAGAATGTAGGTTGGATAAGCAAGGTACCAAGTTCTAAAACTTTTATCACAATCGAAAACCGCTCTAAGTGCTGTACGAATATCTGACTTCTTAGTGCGCTGCTTACTTACAGTGCAGCCTCCTGCCTGTCGACTCGGTCACACTCCGACTGCCGAGCGTCCATCGGATGGAGGGTGGTGGCAGGAGGACTCCGCCGCGTGTCCTGCGCGGCTACGACTCTTTTGGAGTCAACTGCATGTCAGGTTTGTTCGCTCCTCCAGCCTTCGCCTGCTTTGATTACAATGCTGGTTATGTTCTCACCCTCGACGAGTGCGAGTGCGAGTGTGTGTGGCAGCCGCGTCCTGCTGGATCCGGCATCCTGAGTCCTGGATCCTGGATCCCGGCATCGCTTGCCTCTGATAACACGGTAAGTGCGCTTGTTTATCCAGCAAGATAATTTGGACAAGTGTCACCTCTCGGATTTTCACGCGCCGGCTGGAAAATAAAAAGTAACCCGGCGAAAATGTCGCAACTTTTCTGAAATATGTATGCATGCATGCACTTCGCCAGAAACTAACTAACTAGCTGCAGTTGGGGTTAACTGCTCTGGATCAGGTGAAAGTCCGGGCTGGGAACCTGGCTTTAGTCCTGGACCGGGATTGTCCCATTTTATTTTGCGGTGCCCGCCGTAATTTCGCCTCCAGCCAGCGCTTCGTGGCATATTTTTTGTTTTTCGGCGGAGGGACGTACGCGTAATTGGTGTTTGTGGTTAGTTTCGGGTGTGTCCGCAGCAAAGGGCAGATGCCACCTGGTGGCACAGTGGGTGTTGGCACTTTAATGTGGGCTTAGGGTGCTGCAAAGCTCTGATTTACTTTATAGCAATTTGGGTAGATATTCCTCTTGAGGGGGTTTTCTTTTGGCTTTTCTTACGGCAGAGGTGCTTATTACATGTTATTCTTAATTCGACTTCGTCGAATATTTCAAGCCAGTCTCCGTGTTTACGATTACGATGCAATCAATATAATTAAAACCATATTGTGCTCCCTCAGTCTTGTTCCTGAAATCCCTGCCTCTTTAGAGCATTTTTCAGTTGCCGCACAATCCATGTGTCTTGGAATTTTCGGACATTCCCAACCATCCGAGCTCACCTGACCATCGCAATGCCGTGCCAGACTTAACCCACATTAACCGGAGTCAAGTTGAAATCGAGAACACAATATCCTCGGAAAAACGCGCATGTCCGTCGGAATCCCTGACGCATGCAACATTTTTTGACAGCAATCAGATGTTTTGGAATGTTGGCGCCCAGACACACACACAGACACACAGACGCACGGGCAAACGCTCACACCGACGGAGAGAGCTTTGTTTTTGTTAACCTTGCCTAACGACGAATGGCGAAAACAAAACAAAAACGTGGAGAGGCAACAGCGAGAGTCGGAAAAGCGGGAGCGCGTTCAGAGAGCAGGAAAATCTTGGCTGCGCGTGCGCACACAATCCGCTGAATGGAAATGCCAGAGAGGCGAAAGCTTCTTTTTGGCCTGCCTTTCGGGGCGTCCAGGATTCCGAGTTTGGGGCCAACTCATTACGTTCGAACGTCAGTAGTTGAAACAAGGACGCGTTACGTGCAGAATAGCCAGCGCGCAGCCAGAGAAAATATAAATCGCACAAATCGCCCAGCGCGTTGCATTAAGCGGATAAAGCTAAAAAATAAATAGAAATACAGCAATAAAAATGCAGGAAAATTCAGCTGCTTAAGTGCTTTAGTGCTCTAGTGCCCGAGTGTTTTGTGCTTTTCCCCAAAGGAAAATTGTGCCGAATCAGCAGATAGTCGTTACGTATACGCAACGTGTGCGGAGTGTTGTTTTATTGATTGCCCAGCAGCAGAGCCACACTTAAACCACAACGAAAATGCTGATGAAACAGTGAAGATTTAAAGAGCAGCCTCCCTTCCGAGGCTCGAGCAGTGAAATGCGTGCAGCTGACAGTCAAGGTCGCCGACGCCTCATGTCACCCACAAAAACATAGGGATCTGCAGAAAAAAACAATTCTAATAAAAGCAAGCGAAGCATCTTTCAAGTCATCAGCAGCTCATCAACTAAGCGAACTTAAAGTAAGCAAAGTGCCAAGTCAGTCAAAAGTAAAAGAACAAAAATTTAAAATTCCTTTCCTGCCACAATTGCAAGGATGGGGCAAACTCGGCGTGGAAAGGAGCTAATCCCACCGAGAAATTCGCCCTCCTTAGTGTGTGGGCCGCAACTTATCTCCTCGGTTAGACACACATGGATACATTATGTACTCTATATAAGGCAGGATACACACAGGGGGAGCAAACCTTAGGGCGGCTCAAAGAAAAGTCTGCAGGCAGCCTCTTGTCGCTGGATTTGTACTTGTACTCCTTCCTATAGGACTTGGATAACTTGTGTATTGGTTATTTTCGTGTGCCCCGGCTGACACAGTTTTGGCTTTTGTCTATTACTTGCAGCCCGTGACTGCATTACAGGTAGCCGGCCAAACCAACTTTGAGACAGGTCAGGACACAGATTTGCGGGCTCGAGTGCTTGAGTAATGAAAATGTTTTGTTTTCGAGTCTGTGAGCATAGCGCTAAAAATGGGTAAACCTTTTAAACATGAAAGCTAAATACATGTACATAAATTGTTTATTATAAGCAGTTGAAAATTGATTTATAAGCAAAATCTTCTATATCTACACACGTAAAAAGTTTATTCGCGCTTCTGTAACCAAAAACTGAGAACATTTCATTTGCCTATGAGTTCGAGTACATTGCAACAGGATTTTGAGAATTGTGTTCTTCATAAAACGCTGAGCTGCCATTAAAAGGTATTTGAAAAGTTATGTTTTAAATGAGTTTCGAAACTTTCCTGCTCTCGAATCGCACTCGTCTCCAGTTGATTTCGCCTTTGAGATAGTTGATGACGACCCATTTGCGATATCTACATGCGCCCCTTTCCACTTTGTCATTCTACGCTTACCACAAAAAGGAGGCGAGCACCAACTCACATCAAGTGGAGGTTCCCGCCCACGTGGCGTATGAGTTATGCATTATGGCTTGCCGCTTCGAGACTTTCCCCAAATATATTTCCACCATCAGAGGCACTTTGTTTGCTCTACGCATTACGACAAATATTTGCCCATCGGACAACATATTCTTGTGTTGTCTTCTGGGCTGTTCTGCCGTATTTTACTCTGCTTTATTTTCTCTGTGTTTTTATACTTGTTTGTTACTTAGGCTTGTGGGCCGTGCGAGAACGGGGTCAGGCTAAAATCTAAGCCGTAAGCTCTACCCAAAACAGCTGATGTCAGCAGAAAATGTGTGCACGTAACGTGTTTTTTGTTTCGGATTCTCCAGAGAAATACACGGAAAAAACAATGCTTGGTATTTCAGTAGATATGGCACTCTAACTTTCATAACTGCATCTCCATAAATTGAACTTGCTAACAGAACTTGTTTTTGGCCAACAGCGAACAGGTACAAAGTGAAGTTGGCTATAAGGGGCTGATTGTAAGTGTTTCATAACAAGCGGAAAGTAAGTGTTTCAGAAAGTATTTTGCTTAGTTAGTTTACTCTGAGAAAGGAATGTTTGAGTTATTTTAACAGTGCAATTAAATTACTGCAGTTTATTGAAAATGCTGTATGTGGCAAATGTCGAATGCATCAAATTGAAAAAGATTTAAAAGTCATTATGATGTTATGTTAAGTGAAATTTAGCAAAGAAAGACGACAACTTAAATCGCTCTTATTGTTATTACCCAAAAATCTTTGATTTGTTGTAAATTAAATAAAATGGCAATTAGGCAAACAAATTAAATGGGTTCTGATAATTATGAAAATTGTTATTTTATGAAATTTCAACATAATTGCCTCTTAAAAAGGATGGAGCTCAGTTAGATTTCTTGCGAGTGTTAGGCAGACATTCAGGAAGGGGGGCGTGGGCATGGAGGTGGTTCCCCAACAGCCACTCGACCATGGCCGAGAGCGGTGTCAAAGACTTTTTGCGGACTTTGATTTATCTGCAGTGCAGCCCGCAGGCGACTGCTGCACCCACACCCACACTCACACACCCACATTCACACATTCACACTCACACTCATGGACCAGTTCTGAGTTCTGGCATAAATTAAGTGTTTATTTTGGCTTCAGTTGGGATATCGTTACATTTTATGCATGCCAAACTTCCTCGGCTGGTCATCATAAATTTATTCTGTGTAGCATGCTTTTAGGCGCTACTTGCAGTGCTCACTTGTGTGGGTGGGGAAGCGAGAGTGTGCCAAATCAGAAAAGGAAATGACCGGAACTGAGCAAAGTACTCCCTTCGATTTTATTTGACATAGTTTATTACTTTAATGCCGATATATAACTATTTACGAAACAGAGAGACATTCATTTTGGCATTTGAATCTCGAAGCAAGATTTATTGACTTATAGAAATATAAGTTACGGGTTTTGACCTGAATAATCAATTCACCTAGCTGACCAGTTATGAGAGACACATAAGCTTATACATATAATCGAGCCAGAGAAACTGTTTATTTTACCTATATATTATCTAAAATTCTGCTCGGACGATGAGGAGTTTACCAGGCAGCTCTGAAATGACTAATAAACACTTGTATTGCCACTTGGCCGCACACGCAAGATTCATGTTATTTATATAAGCCTCTTCCATTTTTAAAGCTAATGCCGTATGCACATTTCAATCTCGGACCGGGAAAAAGAGAAAGAGGTGAAAGGTGGCGGGAGAATAGGAAACTCTCGCTGATTTATGTGCTAGTTTTCCTGGCGATTTCTCGCTTTTTCTGCGCTTTCCATTTTCGCTTTTGCCCTCTCTAACTAGTTTTTGAGAGTTGTGCAGCAGCATTTTACTCCAATTAAATTTTCATGCCATATGAGCATTTCGCACAGCAACTGGGACAACAACAAGGACGAGAGCTCACACAACGAGACGCTATTTTCAATTTCCGCTGCACAGAAGTACAGAAGTACAGAAAGGAATGCGATTTTTAACACAATTTCACTTTGCCGGGCGAACAACAGGCTGCGAGTGTGCCACTGTGTGAGTACTTGGCATAGAAAACGTTGACGACTAAAAACAACAGGCCAGACCCCATCGAAGCCCCCAACCCCATAGCCCTACCCATAGCCACCCAACCCACCCACTGCCGACCAATTCCATCCGACTCAAAACCCGACGACCCGACACATCGACCCAGAAAACCCTTCGCCTCACTCACCGACTGACAGTTCAAGTCAAAATGCCCTTTTATTGAGATTTAAGCATTTTTGGGTCATTTCCGAATTGTGTTTGCGCAACAGAGATAGACGCTGGGGGAGCGAGAGGGCACGGCCGACGTTTAAATATTAAAAACCTTGTAACGAAACTACTAGGAAGCCCGGAAAATCAATAACCCACAGCGGCCAGAGTTGAAGGCTAAACGTGGCGCTACAGAAATAAAAAAACATCGGACGAGCCAGTGGAAAAAAAAACAAAAAAAAAAAAAACATTAAGCCAACAACCAAAATGGGCATTTTGCATGCATAGATACATGCGATCTGCGAAGGATGGCAGCACATGATGAAAAAGGATACACAGCTGCGAAAAAATAAAACAACGAAGGGGAATGAAAATGGAAAACTTTTTAAAACGCTTGTTTTATTGGCATTTAGCCTCAGCTTGTTTGAGAACACAATATAACACGATATTGTAATGTAAATAGTTGAGCCAACACTGTTTTTCCAACCGTGCTTTTCAGCTGTAAAGTAGTGATTTTCCCACAAGAGCACAAGCGATTCAATGGGCTTTTAAGTTTCAGTGGAATTTCACACGGAATAAATGCCGCTGGGGGAATTATGAAAACCAGCTTATCAATTTTTAAAAGGTTTTTTGTAATTAATGCCTGATTTAATGTCTCGAATGGCAGCACACATAACATCTATGGCAGATACTTACAAATGTCATATATAAAATACGATTTAATATTTTATATACGTTCCAAATTGTGTGAATACTCCACATTAGCCACAACTCCGCTACTAACATCAATCAAATTGAAGTATCAGGCATATGTGGCACACCGCTACCAAGCCAAATGCGGAACCGGGATCCATTTGCTGGTGGATATATCAAATGTAAATTACCATAATGTGACCGACATTTATTCGGGGCTTCCGTGAGCATCGTACTTTCACTTTGACTTTCAGCAGCGCGCAGCTATTTCAAATGGCCCCCATCTCGAGCGAAGTCTTCTCTGGGCCATTTTGGCTGCTCTTGGCCCTTTCGCGTGTGTGAGTTTAATATATCGCGCCTTGTAATGTACGTACTGCGGGTTGCGGGTTGCTGTTTGCTCTTTGCCTTGCATGCTGAAAATGGAGCTCGGAACTCTCGGCGTAAAAACAAATTACATGTGGGCTTAGACCCCGTTTTTCACCGCCCACCGCCCACCGCCCAACGCCCACCACCCCTTTTGGCCATTTTGCAGTCGCTTCAAGGCCACAACAGCGGTCAGGCCGTAGTCGGTCAAAGTTGGTCGCTGTTTGGGTTTGGCTCTGCAATTATATTGTACTGTGTTCCTTTTTTCGGTGGGGCCAACTCTCGCCTCTAATGAAAAATGTTCGCAGCAGAGCGGGTGCTTTTCATGTTTTCATAAATAATTAAATTTCTCGTTTTGCTTGGCCTTTGTGAGCGGCAGGAGCGGAATAAAAAATGGAATTGAAACGGGCCCAGGGTCGCCACTAATTAGGAGCGTGTTTCGCAGGACTCGGTTTCGCTCCCTGAACGGATGCATTAAATTTGCAGCGAAGGAGGAGAAAGTTCGGGGGTCTCCATTCAAGTGGCTTCTTGTCAAGTTGCTGTTGCCAATTATGCAAAGTTTTCGGAGCCAACTTGACGTGGCCAATTGCAAACTGAAGCACTTGGACTGGCTTTTCAACTGCTGCTGTATTTGTTTTCGATGGTGCGCCCAATGGTCATTTAGCAAGTTAGGATACAGTGCCGTAAATTGGTTCTCTAATAAATATTGTGATCAGCAATCATTTTTTACAAATGGGTTTTTCCATGATTTGGTACTTTTCGTGTATAAAATGGATCAATAGT